TTGCAGTGACGTAGCAAGGAGATATATGATGTCTTACTTGGCCTGGATTGTAACTTTTTGGCGTTGTGTATTCTATATGTATTTTACAGATGTTGGGTTTAGTCTTATTTGATCTATTTTGGTTTGTTTAAAGTATAGTTAGATCTGATTTGGTATGAGACTAAAACTAGTCAATTAACTATAAACATCCATAAACGATGGGTTGGTAAAAACAATATTTTTATATAATTTAAACATTTTTTAGGAATCAATCCATTTTTTAACCCAATTGGGATAGGTTGAAGCATGTGGTTATAAGATTTATATCCTCAATCCAAAAGGTGGAATCACCCACCTAGGCGTCCCCACACCCCGACTCGATAGAATGATAGAGGATTAAGTCACAGTATGATTTCAATAAACAGTTTCTGAGGACTGAGGTTGAAGACCTAGTGTGCACAAGCTAAGGGGCCATCACATTAGATGAAACTCTCGCGCTGATGCTGTCGGTAATTGAACCTTTGAACCTGAGACCTCAATCCAATAACAATCTCATTTAGCCACCGTTTAGCTACCCGTGTGGGTAAATACGACTTGTATCCTCTAGCTACGCTCATGCTTATACCAAAGTAGTCTTTCTTATCATCTCCTCTTATGTATATCGTAGTAATTTATAAGTTCACACAACTAATTCAACCATTAATCTGTGATGATAAATTATAAATACTCCTATAGTGTATGAAAAGCCAATACTATTTTAGTTTTTTTCCCTTAAAGAATAAGAAATGTTACGTCTGATAAGCCATAATGACATTTAGTTATTTTTCCTTAAAGAATAAGACATGTAACAAGAATAACATGACATTTCACATTATATATCTATCATCTTTATGAAAATGTCATTATTTCAATATTTCATAAGAATGGACATCCGTCTATTCATGTAGGAGTATAATGTAACCGCAATATAATTAGAAATGTGTTATGTAAAAAAGAGTGTAGTAAATGTGCAACTATATATGCCGTCCCGTGCAAAAAGAGTATAGAAATGAATGTGTATCATATAGAAGGCATTGAGTAAGAGTGTAGTCATGGATTTCATGAGAGATTATCGTTCCTTGAGCATTTATGGAAGTCATACATACTACAACCTTGTGTTGTCATTTTCTTAGAGTTGCAACTTGTGATGAACTTATAACTTTTCAATCTTGTGGCATGAAGCGTGGATTCAAAGAAATATATTCAAATGTACGCGTTTTGTGTTCTAACATATAAACTTCAAATACTACGTATTAAAATTTGGGTTTTTATAATTAACATTGCTTATGAATTATGAGCACAAACAATTACGGAGTAATATATTTCGTTTTGTTTAGGGAAATGATTTGATTTTAAAAAAGTCGATGTGGTTGAGAAATTATTATAAAAATGTATATCATAATTTTACCTGTATTTATATAAGTATAATTTTATAATATAGGGATGGAGTGATATGAAAAAATGATCGAATTGAAGGAGTGGTAAAATTTCTTAAATCTGCCTCAAGTAACGTTACTAGGCAATAAATTTTTTTTTTGGAAGAATTACTAGGCAATAATTGTAGGATAAAATTGAAATGAATTTACCATTCGTGAAAACTTATTTAAACTTCATCCAACTCATAACATTATCCCAATCCAAAGATAATTTAAAAGAAAAGCGTTACATATATATTTATTGATTTTTATTGCGTACCCACTACCATTATTGATGTGTTTGAGAAAAATCTTACATTGTTACAAATGATAAGTTTCAATTCTTTAAAAAATAAAACAATATAAGAACTAAATAATTTTAATTGAATTGGTTTTTATTCCAAAACATACTAGATTAGTAGTTTAGACTTAAACTGGCCAAATCATACTTAAATAAATCATATTAAATTTAGACAAACTTGACTTAAATAGAACAGGCTCACTCAATAAGTGAATGATGGGGATTATAGGGTATTCAAACATATAATTTAAGAGAGATTTGAGCCCATAAGTTGAGAAGAAGATGAAGGAATAGTGTAATATTGAATATGAGTTGAATATTGATTAGGATTTACAAGCTCCCAAGGGCAATATATATAAGAAAAATCTTGGTCTTGACCTCTAATATGGGCCCGACTGACCCAATTAATCTAGAACACCTAAATAATAATAATCATGTACAATAATGTAAATGCTATTTATTGAGCATACTGAACCATGCACTGTCTGGGCCCAATAGTCATTAGACCGGGGGTCGGAGTCCATATACTCTATCAGGAGTCCCCTACTCCCTAAGGCGAGAGTACTCAAGGTGAAAGGGAGTAGAGCTATGTGTCAATCTTCCGTATGTTGGTCTTCGATGCAAGTGGCAAGGAGGTATATTTTGTGGGGCTGAAGGTAGTTAATTTTTGTATATCAGCGTTTGAGCCGGGACAGGTTTCTCCAGTAATGAATAGAACAAATCTAGTTCTAGTGCCAAAGAAGAATAGACCGGAAGATATGGGGGATTCGAGATCAATTTCGCTTTGTAATGTAGTATATACTACGTAAAATCTTTGCGAAAATCCTTGCTAGTAGAATGAAATTTCTATTGAAAGATATTATCACAGAGAATCAAAGTGTGTTTGTTCCAGGAGGTCAATCATTGAAATTTCTATTATGATTGCTTTCGAGACTCAACATTTTTTGAAGGGTAAAAATCAGGGTACGAATGGTTTCGTTGCCCTTAAAATTGATATGACCAAGGATTATGATAGAGTTGAATGAGTTTTTTGAGAATGTTATGAAAAGAATTGGTTTCAATGCTAAATGGATTTCACTGATGATGATTTGTACTAATACAGTGTCCTATAGTGTGCCTTTTGAGGATATGGTTCTTGGGCTGGTCATTCCCAAAAGGGGATTACGACAGGAGGGGGGTCCTCTATCCCGTATCTGTTTATATTAGTAACTGAGGTCTGAGCGCTCTCATACGTAATTAAATAGGAAGGGGCAGGAAAGGTACATGGATTGGGGGTGGATACACAAGCCCCTAAGGTAACTCCTCTTCTGTTTGCGGACGATTGCTTTTTGTTTATTAAACGGTTTATCCAAACTTTTCCGGTGTGAGATATTTAACACCCCTTTTCACGACCAGACACTTCGTCTGGATCGTGCCGTAATTCATTTTTTCATCAATTCGATATTGTCATTTTTATAATCATGTCATCATTTTTTCATAAGGGGGCCCACACCATGGATCGGTTTGGCTCTGATACACATTATCTGCCATAGAAATATTTGGTAGAAATATTATTTAGATTAAATGCTAATGATCTAGTGGGCTTATGTGAACCTATTAGGAATCGTAACTTTTACTAAATAGGTTTGTTATGAACACAGACCACGATACACCGACTGTGCCTGAACGAGAGCTGCGAAGACAATACATGCTTAAAGGGAGCCTACAAGCTTGATATTATTATTTTTGAATGGATATATTAGAGGTTGATTATGTTGAAGCTGAAAATAGAATTAAATATTATTGATAATTAGCTACCTAGTGTAGTGTATGTTTGCGAACTAACATATTTATTGGATATATTTTACTCCTTCCCCAAGACTTGCAACCGTGCGACTATTTTTCCTCTACTTCTAACTGATTGGATCTATGTAGCACCGATACGGATACGCTAAAACGCAGAAATGCGGAAATGGGAACGGGGATACGACAAAAAAAAAGTAGGATACGGATACGGGCTTATTTTTATAAATATCAAAAGTTATGGAGGTGTATTGATAAATACTAAAAGTTATAGGGGTGTATTATAAATATTTAAAATACAATTTTGTTTTCAAAAAATATACATTTATTATCCTCTGACGTCTACTCATGCACGAAATTGAATCATTTTGCATTTTTAAGATACTTAGAAATAAATTTATATTTTATCTCATATACACTAGTGCATGTCGAAATACAAATATTTTCAAAATCTCAATAAGTCATTTAAAAGTGCAAGTACTCAAGTTTCTAGAATAATGAAGATAAAAACAATATTTTAAAAGTTCTAATACATATTTCCGATTGGAGCTATTAATTTATAGGGATAATTAGAATTAGGGATAAGACAATGAGGGAATTAGGAATAGGACCATTAGTTGTGTGTACCATATAAAAGCAAGGTAACAATTATTTTTAGCTTTTCCTTTTTAAGAATTTTATTATGTAAGTTTTGGGTGTTTTAAAAAAAATGGAAGATTTTTTTAAAGTTGATACGTGTATCTGTCATGATACGAATATCCGGAATTTAAAAATAATTACCATAAAAATTGGAAACTCTTAAAAATTGCAAATATGACCCGGAAACGTACGGTACGGGTATCCGAGAGTATCGGATACGGGAACGTTTCCGATACGTCAATACGGTACCCTAACGAAGTATCCGTGTTTCATAGGATTGGACTTGTTGCTAGACTTCTCCTTTGGCCTTATCTCTAATTTTAATTATTCATTCATTGCTCACGTTGCATAGAGGGCTTTGGTAACCCCTTGGGCCGATCACTTCGCTCCCAACTCCAAGCCTGCTGGCCCATTCAAATAATTATTTTCCGTGGCCTAACATTTGCCCCCATTCGTAATGGTGACAGTTTATCCGCCTGTAGAAATAGTCATCATTACGAATTTGAATTGTTAAGGTGGTGACCGTTAGGCCCAAGGAAAACATCTATTTGAATAAGCCAACAGGCCTAGATCAGTTGGGAGCGAAGTGATTGGCCCAAGGGGTTACTGAAGCCCTCTATGCAACGTGACCAATGAATGAATATTTCAAATTAGAGATAAGGCCAAAGGAGAAGTCTAGCAACAAGTCCAATCACTTAGAAGTAGAGGAAAAATAGCCGCACGGTTGCAAGACTTAGGGAAGGAGTAAAATTTATCTAATAAATACGTTAGTTCGGCACCCATGTAAAGCACGATCCTTTTTATCAACGAGCTCTTACTCTGTAATCACGCACATCAGCAATTAAATGTTATTCAACTATTATTCATTTTTTTTATCCCGGAAGGCAAACCACCGCATCCAGTGGGGCAAATGCCGGGAGACATTTGCCATTTTTTTTATTGAATAGTAAAGTAGAGTACAAAGAGAGGGGGCCAAACCAAAACCTCTCAATAAAAAGAAGAAAAATTGGGGGGACCAGACCTTACCCAATTTTCCAAAAGAACAAAAAAGCTACTTCCTAAAAGAGGGGATCCCATTGATATCTAAATCAATTATAGTGCAAATATTGTTAGGTAAGGAAGTTGAAGTGTTAAAGCAATTAGAAATGTCTGAATTAAGACCAAGCTGAGCAAGAGCATGTGAAAGTAAATTCATTTCCCTGAAGATATGCTGTGTACGGACATGAAGGGTCCGACAGAGCCTGTGCGCTTCATCAACCGTCCTCTGAAGATAGATTGGAGGCCTTGATTTCTTCTGCAAGAGCTTCATTGTCATCTCAGAATCTGATTCCAGCTGAAAGTCTAAAAATCCAGATCTAGCACACCATTCCAACGCCCGAAGAGCTACCTGCACTTCCGCCTGAAGTACCGTCTTCACTCGAAGGGGCATGAAAAAGCCAGCAATTATTTTTCCGCCATCGTCTCTAAGAACCGCACCGCCAGCACCTCGCCCCTCTCTGAAAGCCGCATCAACTGAGAGTCTCAGCTTATAGGGGTACGTCTTCTTCCAAATTAGAATTTTGGTTCTGCTTCTGTGAATTGAAACTGGCAAAATACCTTCTTGAATCAAATCATCATTTGCATCAGTGAGATATTTCCTGGGCAAAGTGGATATCCAATTCTGACAATAATCCTTTATTTTGAAGATAATCGCCTCAACATAAAAAACTTTATCTTCCCAAATCAGGTCATTATAAACTTTCCAGATAAACCAAGTAATAATGCCTGGGAGATTATTTTTCAAAATCCCTTCCAAAGTATTTTGCTTCCCCGAGAGCCACCAGCAGAAAAACATTTGTCTAATATTTGGGTTATTAGTTTTATGAATAGACATTAAACCCATGAAATAATCCCAAATTACTCTTACCTTGATGCAGGAGTAAAGACAGTGAGAACCGGTTTGTTCTGCATTCAGACAAATTGGGCATTGAGAAGCCATCTGAATAGAAAATCTCCTGAGATTTTCTGGAAAAGGGAGGTAATGATTTAAGAATTTCCATAGGAAAAGTCTAATGTTCAACTTTTGATAGGGATTCCAAGCTTGTTTATATGAAAATAAAGACAATGATGTGTCACGCACAAGATCATAAGCTGAAGCAAGTGTAAAGATACCCCTTGAATCAGGCAACCAGATAAGTTCCTGCTGATCATTTACTTCAATATTATCCTCCCCTAAATCATTAATTCTACAAATCTGCTTCCATATAGCGGAATCTGAAGGTCTTGGCCTCATATCTCCATTCCTGCTATATCTAAGATGCATAAAATTAGCCCATATAGATGAACCCTCACGCCAAGCCCACCAAGTTTTGAGATGAAAAGCAGACTGAATATCCGAAATTCAAGATGGAAGAGTTTAGCTCCTCATTTGGAGACTAAACATGAAGAAAATATCAAGAAAGAACTTATCTAGATTGAGCTTAGAAGTATATAGGAATTGGATATACTCCTCGATTGAGTATTCGAGAGGGGATAAGTTATAGATATAACAATGATCGACTAAAATATATCAACAAGTGGAAAGTAGCAATGCCAAGTCCTTTTTATCTTTGAATTAAATCTCATATAAGTCCTTCATCTTAGTATTTAATTAATTAAATTCCAATAATACCAAAACTTCCCTTTTATTTACTAGTTCATAAAAAGAGAATTATTCCTTTCCCTGTGGATACGAACTCTACTTCACTATACTACGTATTAGTGCTAGTATTGAATTTATTTTGACGCACCGTGACAAAGTGCACGTCAAATTTGGCGTCGTTGCCGGGGAAAGACAATTTTTTTTTTTATTTCATTTTAAAGAAAAAGAAAAAAAATAGTTGAAGTATAAAGATTTCTATTTCTTCTGAGCTTTGTTTGAGTATATGGTAAGAATCCGATCTATAAACGAAATCATCTACCAAACAAACCCCCAAACGGAACAAGCCTTCGAAAGGTTTAGGAATTTATTTCCGAATACTTCTTCGGAGGAATCATCAAGCGCTAGCTCTCATTCTAGTGAGACCGAAGAGCCAATCACTATGGCTCTTGAGACGAGAACATTGAGGGAGCTCACGGCTCCGAATCTAAATCAACAACCCCTATGTATCACTTTTCCGACTCTTGATACGGGGGTCACATTTGAGCTTAAATCTGGGCTCATTCATCTACTTCCCTCTTTCCATGGCCTACGGGGGGAATTCCATATTGTGTGCACAAGCATGTGCCCCAATGGCGTATCCGAGGAACAAATAAAGCTAAGGGCTTTTCCTTTCTCTCTAAAAGACACCGCGAAGGATTGGCTTTTCTATCTTCCTTCGGGAAGTATCACTACATGGCCACAAATGAAGAAGGCTTTTCTTGACAGGTACTACCCTGCTTCTATTTCATCATCACTCAAGAAGAAAATAAGCAACATTGAACAAAAAGATGATGAATCCCTATATGAATATTGGGAGAGATTCAAAAAGCTATGTGCAAGTTGCCCCTATCACGGATACACCGAACAAGACCTCATTCTCTACTTTTATGATGGTCTTGTGGATCAAGACCGCCGCATGGTGAATGCAGCGTGCGGAGGGGGCATTGTCAACAAAACCCCTTCGCAAGCAAGAGATCTCATCTCGGAGTTAGCCGAGAACGCTAGACACTACAACGGGCGGTCCTCAACTCGTAGAGTTGCTGCTGCGGAATCGACATCATCATTGGAGAGTCAAGTTGCCGGCTTGACTTCTTTGGTTAAGGATTTCCTTTTAAAGTCCAAGACCCAAGAAGTCAAGGTCTGTGGTATTTGTACACAACAAGGGCATCCCACGGACTCATGCCCAACTCTTCAAGAAGACGCAGAACAAGTCAACGCCTTGGGTTTCCAAGGTCATCAACAAAGGAGGTACGACCCATTTTCAAACTCCTACCATCCCGAGTTGAGGGATCATCCAAACTTGAGGTATGGAAACCCTCAACAAGCCAACCCACCTTCTCAATCGAGTATGTCCACGGAAGACATGATTCGAACTCTTGCCACTACCATGGGCACATTGCAACAAAACGTGGTACAATTTCAACAAGAAACAAAGTCAAGCATTCAAAATTTGGAAACTCAAGTTAGCCAAATTTTGAATGCTGTAAATCGACTTGAAGCAAGAGATTCGGGTAGGCTCCCTTCCCAAACTGAGCAAAACCCAAGGCAACAAGTCAATGCCATCATGCTAAGGAGTAGCCCGGAATTACAAGCAAAGGAAGTTGAAAAAGAAAAAGTTGACAAAGAGGAGGTTGACCACAAAGAGGAGGAGCCAACGAAGACAGAATTTCCTCCGCTGTCATCATATGAACCAATCCCTTCTTCCATACTCTTAAGCTCAGTTTAGAATAGTATTTCTTTTATATTTTTATAGCATGTTTAGTCTTCAAATATGGAGCTAAACTTCCATTTCTTGGTATTGCTCTTGAAGCTTGTTGATTATTAAAGTTGTGAGTTATTTTCTTAAATTCTTTTCCTTGAATATTAATTCTTCCTTTAAATACTATTTCTATATCAATGTTGGGGAGTGTTACTAAGATGACAATTAGTTAACATCTTGACATTGGTCTTAGTAATAGCTATTCCTTCCTCTATGTTAATATCGGGGAGGGTTACTAAGATGACAATTAGTTAACATCTTGATATTAACTATAGTAGAATTCATCTTCTTTAATATTCTTCCTTGAGTATTAATTAATTCCTATTCATATTTCATATTAATATTTTGAACATTACTTAAAGGATCAATTAGTTTTGTTTCACATATTAATTATTACTAGAAACGATCAACGAACCGATGGTTAATCGTTGATAGTTTCACAAGTAAGTAACTTCGGTTTATTAATGCACGGTCGTGGTTAATAAACTTAAGAGGGATTAATTTTGTTGGTTAAACCGAAACCGTTGTGTTGAGGTTATCAATCTCAATTGATTTCATCAAGGAGTTAAAAGATTAAATGTTACTATCAAGTCGGTATATGGCGTTGTTCTATACTTGACTAATAGTAAGGGTTATTAATGAACGGTTGTTGTTAATAACTATCCTCGATGAATTGGATATACTCCTCGATTGAGTATTCGAGAGGAAATAAGTTATAGATATAACAATGATTGACTAAAATATATCAACAAGTGTAAAGTAGCAATACCAAGTCCCTTTTATCTTTGAATTAAACCACATAACTCGTTCATCTTCGTGTTAAATTTTAATCAAATCACTCGATCAAAACCTCCCCTTTTATTTACTAGTTACACAAAAAGAAGAGTTATTCCTTTCCATGTGGATACGAACTCTACTACGCTATACTACGTATTAGTGCTAGTATTGAAATTTACTTTGAGTGCACACACGACAAAGTGCACGTCAAATTTGGCGCTGTTGCCGGGGAAAGGCAATTATTTTTCTTTTTATTTTATCTCATAAAAATAAAAAAATAAAAAACTAAAAAAAAAAATTTACTCTTCTATTTTCTGAGCTTACATGAGTATATGGATACCAACATTTCATCCTTAGAGAGTCAAATTTCCTTCTTGACTTCTCTAATAAAGGAGTTTATCTTAAGCTCAAAAGCTCAAGATGTCAAGACCTGCAACATTTGCATGTCTCACGGACATCTTACGGATATTTGCCCAAAGCTCCAACAAGAATACCTTGAAAATTTTGATTATGTTGACTTCCAAAGGAAAGTACCTCACATGATGTATGATCCATTCTGTAACATGTCTACGGAGGACATGCTTCGGACTCTCACTACCAACATGACCACCATGCAAAACAATATGGTGCAATTCCAAAATGAGACCAAGTCTAGAATTTTAAACTTGGAAACTCAAGTGAGTCAAATAGCCGGAGCCGTGAGTGGGCTTGAAGCAAGGGATTCAGAAGAACTTTCCTCTCACATAGAATGTGATCCTAAACAGCAAACTTTTGCAATCACAGTGACAATTGAGAAGGAAATGCAAAAAGAGATCCCAAATCCAGAAGAAATACAAGAAGAAAGAAACACGGAGTTCCAGCTGGTCAAAGAAGAGAATGAACCGAGTTGCAAGGTCCAATATCTGACCTTATCATCCTTTGAGGTACCCCCAACATTTCTAAAAACTTTGAGGGAAACTCATAAAATTGAAAAGGAGAATGACAATTTTGAAATCTTCGGCGAAATTGTGGGATCGAAACACTTTCCATTGACCATGCTAAACAATATTTTTTTCCCCTCACTCTCACCACATAAGTCAATGGAAATCTGGATATTTGATCCTGGAAAGATTTTCAAAGTGAAGGGTCAGAAAATTGAGCATTTCTATGAAAGTCCTAGGAATGAAAATTTGAAGAAGATAAGTTATCACGATCCAAACTTGAACGATTGAACACAATGATGGCATCGTGCCGCGACGTTAAATGAGGCGCTTCTTGGGAGGCAACCCATGCAAGGTACGTTTACTTGTTTTATTTTATTTTTGCACTTTTAAAAAAAAAAGATGCTAGTTAGGTTGAAAACCCAAAAATGGGCAAACTAAGCAAAAAGGGCTTATAAAAATGAGTGAGTGGAAAGGATGGAAAAATAAAAAGAGTTGCTAGGATGAAAACCTGAAAAGGCTCCTAGACAAAATGAGAGATATGAGAGAGATATTTTTACAGGACATCATTTAATCTCTTGAACATGAAAAGAGGAGAAGAAAAGAGATGAGCATAGAAGGCCATGAAACCCAAGATATTGTTCTCTGAGCTAAACACTCAATGTAAAACTCAAGTTTTATCCTTGGTGGTCTTTTGCTTCTTCTTGTTGATTGTTGAACTCTTGAGGACTTGGAACTATTAAACATTTGACTTTACTCGAGGATGAGTAAAGAAGCTAAGTGTGGGGGAGATGATATTCATGTAATTTCCGATTGTATGTTTGTATTTTTAACTAGTTTTTATTAGTTCTAGTTGTGGGAATTACACACGTTTGGTGTAATACTTTATTTTCATTTTTATTTGTAACTTAGTTAGATTAGGATTTTTCTGAGCTAAACAGGTCAAAGATCATCTAAGGGATCAAGATTGGACCTTAAAAGATCAAGGAAAGTGCAAGGAGACAAGAAAGATTTCGATTTGGAAAAAATACTCATGTACCCGGTCGGGTATTGTAACACCCCGGCCCCACCGGACCCGAGGTAGTTACTCCGGATCAATAGTACTGTCCTCACAAACCACCACAAGCCTTTACCGCGCACTTTGTCCTCACTCATGCGCGCCCT